CAGAGTGTTGGATGTGAGAAGGCATGTGGAGTTTTAATTCAGTGGACACCGGTGTTCCTGTTATGGTGGAGCCTAGACACCACGTGTGCTTGACAATCTGGCTTCATCAATATTGTGTTGCTTCAACTCTTTTTTATTTTACTTCATTTTTGTTTTTTCTATGTCGATCGGAGCTTGAATTCGAGTTTATTAATTACTTAGATTTATTTTATTTTACTATAATCTAATGACAAACTTAATTAGCGCAACTTGGTTTAGGAAGAGAGAGAGAGAGAGAGAGAGAGGAGAAGAGAATTGGTAGTCGTGCAATGTTAATGTATCAAGTAACTCTGTTATTAGTACTTTGCTATAATTATTTGCAGGAAAAAAAGATTTTCTTTATTTTTATAATTGATATGATACTTAATGAAAAGATTTGCAAGATCGGTTTTTTAATTTTTTTTTTGACAGTAAACTGTATTTACTTACAAATACTATTGTACCGAGAAGTAGCAGGTTAATGCAACAATGTATATAATTAAGGACACTGGTTAAATCTATATTATCATTGCAAATCATATGAGGTAGAGACGTAAATAAAATTATGTTAAGTGCTAACACATAATGTGTGACAAGTTCCGCCTAGCGACCGTTGGCTAGAGGGATTCGAACTTGAGTCAATTGACACAAGTTCAACGTAACGATATGTAGTACGACAAAATTTAAATTTAGTAATACACATTTATTTAAAAGAATTAAATTGCCTAAACAATTGTACGTATAATAATACATAACGGCCCTATCTAATTAATTTAGTTAAACCATGAAATCTACACAAGATTTTACAACTACCATAATAACTCCCAATGCTGTACCTAATTCATTGATTTTGGACTATATGAAAATACAATTATAGAGATGCATTGAAACTTGACATATTTTCATTCACAAAAAAAAAAAATTAAAAAAAATATATATATATATATATATATATATATATATATATATATATATATATATACTCTATAGGTGTAATCTATATAATATATAAAAGTTGAATTGCATAGCTAATTGATTGACATTTGGCAATTTCAATTGATGACATGTCCTCAATTTCATC